ACCAGGGGGGGGGGGGTCCACAACATACCCTCCATCCCCCAGCACCGACGGGGCCACTACTGACACTGCCACATCCTCACTTAGCACCCAGATGAGCCACAGAGACATTAGAATGTTTTTTTTTCAGTGTCAGAGTAGTTAATAAATGGAATGCACTAGGAAGTGATGTGGTGGAGGCTGACTCCTTACATAGTTTCAAATATAGGTATGATAGAGCCCAGTACGCTCAGAAATCTGTACACCAGTTGATTGACGATTGAGAGGTGGGACCAAAGAGACAAAGCTAAACCCCCACAAGCACAACTAGGTGAGTACTATCACATACACCCGCAGCAGACTCCAGTCTCCACACTGAAGGCCCCCGGTCCCCCAAGCAACCACTCCTGGCCGTCTTCCGGTGCTTCATCTGAGAGCCAGGTTGACCCAGAACCGCAAAGGCTGAAGGACGACGAGAGGGGCGACCACCATCATATTGACACATCCGCCTCCTATGGCTCCACACCCAGGGCTGAAGCACACACCGTTCCAGGCTCATCAGAACTTGGCGTGACATCACCCACCAGTGACAAAACAGGGTCACGTCCCACTGAAGTGTCAATATCCACGGCGACGACATCCGGATGAGGATGCACCTCCACATGCATGACCTTTTCACAATCCGGTCATGGGTGGGTGCGGGTGCACCCACAATCACTGTGGGTGCATCAATCAATCTGATTGCACTGTGCAATCTGATTGCACTGATGCACTGTGGGTGCATCAATCAATCTGGGTGCGGTGCACCCCATTCTGGGGTGCACCGCACCCAGAATGTACACCCATCATATCTACACCTGAAACTGTGTATGGAGTCAGCCTCCACCACATCACTGCCTAATGCATTCCATTTGTCAACCACTCTGACACTAAAAAAGTTCTTTCTAATATCTCTGTGGCTCATTTGGGCACTCTGTTTCTACCTGTGTCCCCTAGTGCGTGTGCCCCTTGTGTTAAATAGCCTGTCTTTATCTACCCTATCAATTCCCTTCAGAATCTTGAATATGGTGATCATGTCGCCCCTAACTCTTCTGTCTTCCAGCGAAGTGAGGTTTAATTCCCGTAGTCTCTCTTCGTAGCTCATACCTCTCAGCTCGGGTACTAGTCTGGTGGCAAACCTTTGAACCTTTTCCAGTTTAGTCTTATCCTTGACTAGATATGGACTCCATGCTGGGGCTGCATACTCCAGGATTGGCCTGACATATGTGGTATGCAAGGTTCTGAATGATTCTTTACACAAGTTTCTGAATGCCGTTCGCATGTTGGCCAGTGACCTACTATACACTATGGAGAGTGGCAAGCAAAGTGCTCCTGCACACTCTTTCAATACCCATGGTGAGATTCCATCCGGCCCAACAGCTTTTCTCACATCCAGCTCCAATAGGTGTTTCTTGACCTCATCTCTTGTAATTTCGAACCTTTCCAAGGTCACCTGGTTTGCTGCCACCTCTCCTAGCGCCGTGACTTCTCCCTGTTCTATTGTAAAGACCTCCTGGAACCTTTTGTTGAGTTCTTCACACACCTCTTTGTCATTCTCTGTGTACCTGTCCTCGCCCACCCTAAGTTTCATGACCTGTTCCTTTACTGTTGTCTTCCTCCTGATGTGACTGTGTAGTAGCTTTGGTTCGGTCTTGGCTTTATTAGCTATATCATTTTCAAACCTTTTCTCAGCTGCTCTTCTCACACTAACATACTCGTTCCTGGTTCTCTGGTATCTCTCTCTACTTTCTGGTGTTCTGTTATTACGGAAGTTCCTCCATGCCCTTTTGTTCAGCTCCTTTGCTTTCATACATTCCCTATTAAACCACGGATTCTTGTGTGTGTGTGTGTGTGTGTGTGTGTGTGTGTGTGTGTGTGTTGTGTGTGTGTGTGTGTGTGTGTGTGTGTGTGTGTGTGTGTGTGTGTGGTGGGGGGGGGGGGGGGAGGGGTATTGGGTGAGGTGGAGGGGATGAAGGCGTGGTGGCTAGTGACTTGAGAAACTGGTCCAAATTGAGTCGCATATTTCTCGAGATTCGTTTACTTTTTTTTTTTAGCTTAAGTCAAAGCCTAAATTTTATAATAAAAGAATACTGTACACCGTATGATTGACACAAGAGTCACCGGCCACTTCAACCCCCAAGTGCATAAGCTAGGATAGTTTTTGAAGTATTCCGCGATCTGAAAGCCTTGTTTGTGCTCGCACCGCTGCCAGGCGCGAGGTTTCCTCCATAACATTGATGTCGTACTATAGGTTTAATTGATTTCTTAGCACCATAAGGGCTCTTCCGAGCAAGAGAACGCAATTGCGGAATTAGCGTAGCACAGGAACGTGTGCCCCCCCCTCTCTCTCTCTCTCTCTCTCTCTCTCTCTCCCTCATATCTCATCTTCTCACTCTCTTCTCTCTCTCGCCTCTCTCCCTCTCTCTTACTCTCTCATCTCATCTCTTCTCTCTTCTCTCTCTCTCTCCTCTCTCTCGCTCTCTCTCTTCTCTCTCTCTCTCTCTCTCTCTCTATCCTCTCTAGCTCTATCCTCTCTACTCTCGTCTCTCTCTCTCACTCCTCTCTCTCTCTCTCCTCCTCTCTCTCTCTCCTCTCTTCTCTCTCATCGCCTCTCTCTCCGCTCACCTCTCTCTCTATCCTCTCTCCTCGACTCCTCATCTCTCGTCTCTTCGCCCTCTCTCTCTCATCTCTCTCTTCTCTCTCTCTGCTGTCGTCTCTCTCTCTCTCTCTCCTCTCTCTCCTCTCTCTCTCTCTCTCTCCTCTCCTCCTCTTCTCTCGCTCTCTCCCCTCTCTCTCTCTCTCTCGTCTCTCTCTCTCTCCTCTCTCTCTCTCTCTGTCTATCTTCTCTCTATGTCTCTCTCTCCTCTCTCTCTCTCTCTCTCTCTCTCTCTCCTCTCTCTCTCTCTCTCTCTCTCTCTCTCTCTCTCTCTCTCTCTCTCTCTCTCTCTCTCTCTCTCCTCCTCTCTCTCTCTTCTCTCTCTCTCCTCTCTCGGTCTCTCTCCTCTCTCTCTCTCTCTCTCTCTCTCTCTCTCTCTCTCTCTCTCTCTCTCTCTCCTCTCTCTCTCTCTCTCTCTCTCTCTCTCTCTCGTCACTCCCTCCCCCGGTCACCTCCCCCTCCTCCTCCCGGCCTGGTGAGGACAAAGGATGTTGACGGAGGCGCTGAGGGGGGTGGTGCTGCTGGTGCTGCGGCTCTAGTGCTCAACAGGAGACCCAAAAGGTCTTCCTCCAGGTGCGTAAGACTCATATGAGGATGTTAAGGTAAGATATGTACACGAGTTGTGATGTCAGAAGTGGAATGTGAACTGAAGACGCCATAATTACAGACAAAAGGTTTGTACAGGAAACAGTTTACTAAATTTAACGTATGTGAGAATAGTTCAGAAATATGGCAGATGTATTATTCTCTTTTTTCTCGTCTTTCCGTCGAATATTTATAAAGATTTGAACCGTTTGATGGTGTGTTTGCGTGTGTGTGTGTGTGTGTGTGTGTGTGTGTGTGTGTGTGTGTGTGTGTGTACTCACCTAGTTGTACTCACCTAGTTGTGTTTGCGGGGGTTGAGCTCTGGCTCTTTGGTCCCGCCTCTCAACCGTCAATCAACAGGTGTACAGATTCCTGAGCCTATCGGGCTCTATCATATCTACACTTGAAACTGTGTATGGAGTCAGCCTCCACCACATCACTGCCTAATGCATTCCATTTGTCAACCACTCTGACACTAAAAAAGTTCTTTCTAATATCTCTGTGGCTCATTTGGGCAATCAGTTTCCACCTGTGTCCCCTTGTGCGTGTTCCCCTTGTGTTAAATAGACTGTCTTTATCTACCCTATCAATTCCCTTCAGAATCTTGAATGTGGTGATCATGTCGCCCTAACTCTTCTGTCTTCCAGCGAAGTGAGGTTTAATTCCCGTAGTCTCTCCTCGTAGCTCATACCTCTCAGCTCGGGTACTAGTCTGGTGGCAAACCTTTGAACCTTTTCCAGTTTAGTCTTATCCTGACTAGATATGTACTCCATGCTGGGGCTGCATACTCCAGGATTGGCCTGACATATGTGGTATACAAAGTTCTGAATGATTCTTTACACAAGTTTCTGAATGCCGTTCGTATGTTGGCCAGCCTGGCATATGCCGCTGATGTTATCCGCTTGATATGTGCTGCAGAAGACAGGTCTGGCGTGATATCAACCCCCAAGTCTTTTTCCTTCTCTGACACCTGAAGAATTTCCTCTCCCAGATGATACCTTGTATCTGGCCTCCTGCTCCTTACACCTATCTTCATTACATTACATTTGGTTGGGTTAAACTCTAACAACCATTTGTTTGACCATTCCTTCAGCTTGTCTAGGTCTTCTTGAAGCCTCAAACAGTCCTCTTCTGTTTTAATCCTTCTCATAATTTTAGCATCGTCCGCAAACATCGAGAGAAATGAATCGATACCCTCCGGGAGATCATTTACATATATCAGAAACAGGATAGGACCGAGTACAGAGCCCTGTGGGACTCCACTAGTGACTTCACGTCAATCGGAGGTCTCACCCCTCACCGTAACTCTCTGCTTCCTATTGCTTAGATACTCCCTTATCCACTGGAGCACCTTACCAGCTACACCTGCCTGTCTCTCCAGCTTATGTACCAGCCTCTTATGCGGTACTGTGTCAAAGGCTTTCTGACAATCCAAGAAAATGCAGTCCGCCCAGCCCTCTGTTTCTTGCTTAATCTTTGTCACCTGATCGTAAAATTCTATCAAGCCTGTAAGGCAAGATTTACCCTCCCTGAACCCATGTTGGCGATTTGTCACGAAGTCCCTTCTCTCCAGATGTGTTACCAGGTTTTTTCTCACGATCTTCTCCATCACCTTGCATGTGTGTGTGTGTGTGTGTGTGTGTGTGTGTGTGTGTGTGTGTGTGTGTGTGTGTGTGTGTGTGTGTGTGTGTGTGTGTGTGTGTGTGGGGCAGGTAAATATAGGGAGTGATGTGTGTGTTGACAGGTGAGTGGGGCTGGCCGGTGCTGGGGGCGCTGATGCCCTCTGGGATCTCCATGGAGGAACACGCCACCAACCTCATGCAGAAGTACGGCGACATTTTCACGTAAGTTTCAGGCAGTCTTTGGTAAATGATGGTCGGTATATCTATATCTGTTTTGTCTATGTTATAAGTACATTGCATTAACATACATTAGTCAGCTTGCAGCAACAGTCGCTACAAATAGAAAAAAAGACATCTTATAGTAAGATGTCTTAGGTAAGTCCTCCTTACACCGGACCCGAGTTATACAGAACGAGGTTTGTGAAAACTTGGGGGCAAGATTTTGGGGGGGGGGGGTGTTGTACAAGCTGCTTTAGTGGTATGTCCACTCACAAGATGAGTGGCGCTGCCTACTAAACTCACCCCTCGGGGCAAAATTAATTAAATTCTTAAGGAATCTCACCTCGCCGAGGACCCACGAACAGTAAGCGGGAGATCACGTTAATTTCGCCAGCCACTACCGTTTTCTAGCTCCACAGTTTTTGGCCTTAAAATGTACGCCAAAATGCGACGTACTATTAGGAGGACTGGTTGGACCAGGAGAGAGAGAGATGAGCCACGGGCATGTGAGCAAGAGCCACAGATGAATCACAGGGATATGTGAAAATACTTCTTTAGCATAATAAGAGTAGCAAGACAATGGAATGAAATAGACGAGAAGTAAGTAGAAGCCAACTTCAGTCACAGCTTCAAAACTTGTCATGAGAAGAGGCGTGTAGGTAGAAAGTCATTGCATTAGATGACTGACAATTGTAAAAGATACTCCAGGAGCTGAAGATGGAAGCTGCATGAACAGATAAGTAAGTACGCATTCAGGAATGTGGAATACAATGTGATCTCACACCCGAGAGATGATTGCAGTAATGGCAACCAAATTGTTGACTAAGACAAATAAGTTGCGTGGGTAGGAGCAGTATTCTGCTCATCTCTTTGTCATTATCAGTTATCTCACCTGTCTCAGTTTTTAATGGACCTATCTTTCCCAAAAAAATTTTATGTAACTGAAAAAAAACTTTAGAATTTGTCTTTGCTTGCCCTGCTCTGCAAACTTCATAGTTTCTTTTTTTGCCCTGCTTATGTCTTTTCTTTTTAACTATCTAACCAGTTGAAGGAATTCTTGTTCTAAACCAGGGGTGGGCAACCTTTTCGAGAGTGCGTGCCAAAATCAGCCAAGTCTCTGACACAAACTTTTTCCACATGCCAACCATTTTTTTTAGAACATATTTGGTATCTCTTAAGAACTTTTTAAACGAAAAAATAATAAATTACCTCAGTGCAGTAAAACACCTTCTTCTCGGGGAGGAGACAAGTGAGCAACTGTGAGAAACACTACGAAGCAAGACTGCGAGAGAGAGTTACGAGTCTGAGATCGTCTGAACATGTGTTCATTACGGGGACTTCATGGGGGTGGGGGACTGTTGATTTCACTGGTTATATTTCGGCCGTCAATGGAGAGAAGGGGAGAGCATAAGAATTCTTACATTTCTTTAGCTTTCGAAGGTGAAGATGCTTTAGATTTAGATAGTAAAGTGAGTTTAATTAATATGCGTCAAACTGAAGTCGGGCGGCATTCAAACACATGAGGTTTAGGGGGGGGGGGGAGATGTTGTGGGGGTTTAAATTCAAAGTTTACGAAATTAATTTTTAAAGGTGGGCAGGCATGGCGTATTTTGCCTTCACAGATATGATTGTCAGTGTACACTATGGTTATGGGTGCAGCCTTTAGGTTAGAAAGGCTTATTACATAAAATATGAGCCAAAGTAAATAGAGGGGAATCATCATACATCAGCATGATCGATGACGTAAAAAAAGAAGGTAACTATGGCAACAAGATCAACTTCTTTTTCTTGAGACCTCTTTAGCTTCGTAGAGCTTAAACCTCTTCACCACCAGGACGTCTTGAGACCTCTTTAGCTTCGTAGAGCTTAAACCTCTTCACCACCAGGACGTACATATACTGTCATGGCATGTAAGCTTATACCCCAAGGAAAGTAGTTTTTTTTTGTCTGTGCTTAGGGTAACATGTGCTTGCGTCTGTGCTTAGGGTAACCAATGCTCTTGCGTGCCAGAGACAATCATCAGCGTGCCAAGTTTGGCACGCGTGTCAGAGGTTGCCCACCCCAGTTCTAAACTGACTTCCCCATTCTTAATCCTTTTGTACCACGCTCTGTTTCTATCTATACTTCTTCAGATCCTATGTTATCCATTTTGGGTCATTATTATTCGATCTATTGAATTTGTATGGTATACTATATGTATACCATACAAATATGTATACCGGTCGTATATACTATACGACCGGTATGGGGAGCCGGTCGGCCGAGCGGACAGCACGCTGGACTTGTGATCCAGTGGTCCTGGGTTCGATCCCAGGCGCCGGCGAGAAACAATGGGCAAAGTTTCTTTCACCCTATGCCCCTGTTACCTAGCAGTAAAATAGGTACCTGGGTGTTAGTCAGCTGTCACGGGCTGCTTCCTGGGGGTGGAGGCCTGGTCGAGGACCGGGCCGCGGGGACACTAAAACCCCGAAATCATCTCAAGATAACCTCAAGAGATACTATGTTACTGTGATTTGCTTAAAATATTGTTAAATAAGTTATATTTTGAATCCACATCGAAATCCCTTTTTACATCACCTATCGCTGGGTTCACGTCTCGCTCCGAGACCGGGCAACCCCCCATACCCAGGACTTTCCAATCTATTTCACCAAAAAACAATTCTTAGGCCATTAAACTCAGCTTTTCGAAAATCTGACACTTTTAACTGAATTTTCTCCTACAAATCTATTCCATTTTATACTAAATCTAATTTCTTTGTGATCACTGTTCCCTAGCTCACTCTCAGTGTCGATGTCATTAATTTCTGTTTTCCTGTTAGTTAACACTAAGTCTAAAATATTATTTTCCCGTGTTGGTTCCTTAATTTGTTGCGTAAGAAAACAATAGTCAATTAATTCTAGAAAATCTTCTGCTTCATTATTCCCGGTTCTGTTAATCAAGTTTATTCCACTAAAATGAAAATCACGCCTGACACAAATACTGTTTGACCTAGATGCTCTAAATATTTCGTCCCATAGATTCTTTGCTTCTATTCTGTCTAAGTTTGGTGGCCCTGTATATAACTCCTATTATAAGATTTCTAACATTTTCGTTTAATTCTAGCCAATAGTTTCTGTGTGGCTCAATTTTAATTTTCTCTTTGAGACTACATTCCAAATTTGCATTAATATTTATTGCTATTCCCCTTCTTCATCTAATATATCTATCTGATTGAAATAGTTTAAACCCGTTTATTTGATATTCAGCTAATAGTTCTGTTTTCTACATTCATCCATGTTTCGGTAAGTACAATAATATCAATTGTTTCATTTAAATCGTTTATTTTGTTTCTTAAACTCCTACTGTTCGTGTAATATACTGAAGTGTATTGTTATTTTGAGGCTCTTCTCCTTCCCTGTTCATTTTGCCATTTTTCTCCCCCACCAACAAATATTTTTATTGCCTCCTTTCTCCATATCAATTCCCATACCCAATTCCCTTCTATTAACATTTTAAATCCAAAACAAACCCCTCCAACCACAGGTTCCAACGAGTTGGCACAGCAACAACCCTAGACAAATTCACCCCATCCCGAGCATGTCATTCCTTCTATAGAAGTGTTTCTAGTTATCTGTGAATGATATTGCATTTGATTTACAATATTGGTTCAGTCGGCAATTGACACCAAGTGCCCTCGACAACCATTCATTTCCAACTCCCTTTATTGGAAGAATGCCACATATGTTCGTGATTCCTCCCTTGCTCCTAACTAATTCTACGGCTTTCTTAAACCTCTGTATCAGTGCCTAACCCGTAACTCGTCCTACATCATTTCCATCGACACTGATACAAATAATGGGTTTGTTCCCATTACCAGTTATAATATCGTTCATGTTGTTTACTATCTCACTACTCCCGGATAGCAAACCCTTAACCTGTTCCCCCCTGTCTCTGGCATAAAAAGATCTATCCAAATACCTCACCGGAGAATCTCTAAGTTCCTAAATTCGCTTAGGTACTTCCATTACTTTGTGAGCACCTTGAGGGACCTGCGCCCACTTCGCTGTCTTGCCTTTCAAGCGAACTGCAGTCTCCCTACAGCATTAAATAAACTGTCTTTGTCTACCCTATCAATTCCGTTGAGAATCTTGCTTGTGGCGATCATGTCCTCCCTAACTCTCCTGTCTTCCAGCGACGTGGTTTAATTCCCGTAGTCTCTCCTCATAGCTCATCATAGGGCCCCTTCAGTTTGGGCACCAGCCTGGTGGAAAAACTCGAAGGCTTTTCCAATTTAGTTTTATATTTGACATGATATGGACTACGTGCTGGAGCTGCATATTCCAGGATTGGTCTGACATATGTGGTATAAAAGGTTCTGAATGATTCCTTACTCAGGTTCCTAAAGGCCGTTGTTATGTTGGCTAACCTGGCATATGCCGCTGATGTTATCCTCTTGGTATGGGCTTCGGGGGGGGGGGGGGGGGCAGGTCTGGCGTGATATCAACCCCAGGTCTTTCTCTCTCTCTGATTTAGAAGAATTTTATCTCCCAAATGGTACCGTGTATCTGCCCTCCTGCTCCCTTAACCTACCTCCAATACATTACATTTGCTCGGGTTTAACTCTAACAACCATTTGTTGGACCATTCCTTCAATTTGTCCAGGTCTTCTTGAAGCGTCATGCTGTCCTCAGTAATCATGTGTGCTACATACACACATGAAACCTCATGTATTCACTTGGTTGTGCTTGCGGGGGTTGAGCTCTGGCTGTTTGGGCCTGCCTTTCAACTGTCAATCAGCTGATTTTTTTATTCAAACACACCCCAGGAACCAGCCCGTAGAAGCTGTGTAACTACCAGGTACCTATTTACTGGTAGGTGAACAGGGGCATCAGGGTGAAAGAAACTTTGCCCATTGGTTTCTGCCACTACTTGGGATCCAACCCGGACCCTTAGGACTACGAATCCAAGCGCTAACAACTCGGTTCTTCAGGCAAAAATAGGAACTAATACAAAGAGTTGAATATAGAGGTTGGGGAGAGTGATGACGGAGCCTCTCAGGAGAGCTATACAAGGCCGAGTCCTTGAGTCTCCCCCCCCCCCCACCTGAGGGCACGCCAGCCTGTTTGTGTCACAACACTGCAGCCTGAGGCCTGACAGCTGAGAGGACAGCGCTTGGGTTTCGTAGTCCTAAGGTTCCGGGTTCGATCCCATATGGAGGCTGAAACAAATGGTCAGTTTCTTTCACCCTGATGTACCTGTTCACCTAGCAGTAAATAGGTACCTGGGAGTTAGACAGCTGTTACGGGCTGCTTACTGGGATGAGTAACAAAAATTAGGTTTGGTCAAGGACCGGGCCGCCGGGACGCTAAGCCTCGAAATCATCTCAAGAATAACCTCAAGATAACCCCTTGTTTTCCGAATGGTAAAAAGAAGCACGACCATTATTTCCTCAAATTCATAATTATTCATATTTCAAAGACTTTTAAGATCATATTAGCCAGAAACCGCAGACATAATACAGTATTATGCTGTACATGTTGACGCCTCTCTAATGCTGCCCGTAAGTCTATTACAACAAACGACCAACAAAACTGGCCACTACCACCAGCTGCCTAGGAACTGAGCCCCTGTGTGACGCCCATGGATGTAAATGGACAGTAAGAACGGCTACAGCATCACTGCCCAAGTCAAACCTGACGGCTGAGTGGACAACGCTCGGTGTTCGAAAAATTTACCCGAAACGCTATGCGTGCTAGTGCTGTACAAGAATGCAAGAACTCTTGTATACAAAAAAAAAAACTGTGGTTGGGCCACCACGATGTAAAGTCCTAAGATCTTTATAAGACAATGACTTGTCCTCTGAATTGTACCCTGTTTCCTGCTCAAGTTTTTGAACCTCGCCCCATCCTTCCACTCCCTGCTTACCTGCCCCTAGGGTCTGGCATTCAATTCGATAAGGCCAACTCTGCCGTTTGTAGTAAACTTTATGGGAAGAAATGTTATCCCTATGAATGATAAAGATACTTACAGGTGGCGGCTGGGGAGTCGAACCATGGTCTTCCTCAACAACTTCCAGCTGATCAAGGAAGCCTTCTCCAACCCAAGCCTGCAAGACCGACCTCACTTCTTCTCCTTCGACTCCTTCAGTAGCTTCAAGAAGATCGGTAAAGATATACCAACATTTCATCTCCTTATAACGTCGAGGGGCGAACCCCCTCTTTCTCGCTCCCTTTATATTACACCGTACCTCCCCTCTAGAGCTCCCCATCGAGAGGTAACTGGTACCTGTGTACCTGGTTCCGCTTGCCTCTATTTAAACACAAATGCTCCCACCATCTTGCTTTTTATTGGTTTCAGGGATGGCACATGATACTTTTGTACTTAGTTCATGGTAAACCTTCGCTGTAATAGTAAGTTGGGAGAAATCTAATGTTAATTAGACTCGGGTCCTGGATTCCAAACGCGTTTGTACTGGACCTATTTGCCCCTAATTCTTTCATTACTCTGTCACTGCAAATGTGAGCACCACATGTCTCGATACTCACACTGTATTGTGGTATTTCATTATATATTATATAATATATATTTGTATAAATATAATTCTTTTCTTCATGCTACATACTGTTACTAATATAATGTGTTGGGGACCAGGCTTATTCAACAGCAACGGCCTGACGTGGCACAACAACAGGAGGTTCTCCCTGCGTCAGCTCAAGGACCTGGGAATGGGCAAGTCCAGCCTGATGGAGGCCATCCAGAACGAGGCCGAGATGCTGGTAGAAGACTTTGGGAAGCACACAGGGACACCACAACCCATCCCCTGGTCACTCAATGTTGCTGTCCTAAATGTTATATGGAAGATTGTCTCAGGTGAGTGGTGGTCTAAGGTGGTATTTTGGGGGAGAAAATCTTGAGCGGGCCTTAAGCCTCTGGCTGCCGCACTGTAAGTGTTATTTGCTTCTGTCTTATGCGTATTTATGACTTGTGTGTTGGTTTCAATAAGATTATGTACAATATTAACAACTTCTGCGATGATAAATCTCAGATGGAAATCTTATTTAGTTTGTAACTGTGCACTGTGTAAGATGGTCTGTAAGATGTTCCAGTGGTCTGTCGAACATTTCTCTGCAATGCTGACATTTCTTTCCGTCTTCTGGAACCTGTATGACTATGTCCCATGCACATGTGTATCCAATCCTGATGTAAGTGTGAACTAATTGATCTAAAAAGCCATCTAGAGAGAGAGAGAGAGTCAGTACTCCGATTTACAAATAAAAATAGTAAAAATAACAGTCTGCCATTCTTGGATGTACTAATAACAAAAACAGGAACCTCTTTAAGCACCAACGTATATACCAAGCCCACCAACATAGGATTATGCCTGAACGGTAGAAGTGAGTGCCCCCAAAGATACAAAGCCAGTGTTCTCAATGCTTATATTCGTCGAGCGCTTACCCACTGCTCCGAATGGAGCAACGTGAGTAGAGAGTTTGAAAGAGTAACTCAGGTATTGGTGGACAACGGATATAGCAACGCGGAAATAAATGCTGCTATAAGAAGACACTTGGACCGTTGGTATAATCCTGAACCCAGAACAGAAACCACAATACCTCCAATAAAATTATATTACAAATCAACCATGCACAGTGAACATATAAAAGAGGAAAGAATAATGAAAGAAATAATCCGTAAAGGAGTAAAAAGCATTACTCCTAACCAAAACATAAACCTGATAATATTCTACAAAACCAAGAAGACTTCCGAACTCCTTATCAAAAACAGGCCGAAGCCGACGGAGAACCCTCTACAGCAGTCAAGCGTTGTATACATGTACACTTGCCCCCACGAAGGATGTAACCTTCAATCTAAGTATGACGTTGACCAAACTGACGAGGCGTTTGACATGCCATCTTCAATCTGGTGCCCCCAGGAATCACATGAGACAAGCCCATGACATCACCCTAACAAGAGAAATGTTGAACAAAAATACCTGTATAATAGAGTGTGACGGTGTTCCCCCCTTATATTTCTCCCATGCCTACTGTAAGAGTCATATCCACTTTACCCGAGCGTTTTCTACGTCGCGGGCATCAGTTTGATATATGTGGGAGAGTGTAGTGTTCTCGCGTTGGCGAGAAATTCGTAAAAGAAGAGTATTTTGGCCTGTGGTATAGGTCCTTTAGGACGCCAATATGGCGCTGGCCCCTCCGTTTTGCCGCCAAAACTGTGTGACGTCAGTGGCACCAGATTGGTCACTGACAGTGACGTGGCACAGGGAGCCAATGAAAACCGCCCCTGGCAAGTATGACGTCACGAAGGCAGGGGAGGTCTGGTCATCGCGCCACTTTGGCGCCACCAGTCTGAGACAGCACGCCAAGGAGGTTGGACCTCCTTGGGATCCTGTCAGGATCCCAAGGAGGGATCCTGTCAGGGGATCCCAAGGAGGGATCCTGACAGGGGATCCTGTCAGTTTGACAGTTTACCCCATCTCCGGAGGATTTAAGCATCACCGGCGGTCTGCCAGCACCTGTGGGGCTTCCTTCGTTCATGTGTTGGACCAGAGAAGGAATTGACGGAATATTGAGCAACAAGTGCTCCAGGGATAGGTGTTGTGCCAGAGTGGAGTCTAGGCAGTGACGTCTGGGACGTCTGACAGCTTCACCGGTGATGACGTAGTGGCTGGGCCAATCCTCCGTGAGGGAACCAATCTGACACGACATGTCAAGGTGGACGGATGTGCGAAGGTTGGTCCTGTCAGATTTGACAGTTGTACCCCACTCCCGTGGATTTTATGCGTCACCCGTTGTCTGCAAGTATGCCGAGAGGTCTTCCTTCATTCCATGTGTGGACCGAGGAGGGAATTGACGGAATATTGAGCATCAAGTGCTCCAGGGTCACGTGCTGTGCAGAGTGAAGTCAAGACAGTGACGTCTGATAGCTTCACAGTGACGACGTAGCGGCTGGGCCAATCCACCGGGAAGCAGTGAAAGAAGAAAACTAATTGGGAATCGGGACGACTGCAGCCGAGAAGTAGGTTGGCAGCCATAGTTGTGAGGAGAAGTCGACGGCCGGGAGACCGACTCCAACCCTGCAAGACGTGGAGGAGCACGGACCTGTGGAGGACAGAGCACTGTGACGACGCGTTTATTTTGGGACGTTGATTGGGTTCCTGGAGAACGCATCAGTGTGTGTGTGTGGGGGCGTTCCCTACAACGAGGCGAGAGCCGAGACCAGGAGCTACAATTCAACTCTCACTGGAGGGCGAATCCACATCAGTGAGGTGGAAGTAGGTGATTCTAGTTTCCCTCCCAATTCCCCTTTAGTCAGCTATATATTTAGCCAGAGTATCTTTCATGTCGTGAGCAAGGCTCACCTATGTCTATGTCACAGTAAGGCACAGTTATGCAGAGTGAGGCTGTACAGAGCTCTCACGATATTTATGTGTGGTGTGTGCAGGCACCTGGAATTATTGAGGAATGTATTGTGTCGTTGATGATTTCTTTCATGTGACATTAATATGATAACTTATGCCAGAGAATATATATATAAGTGTACCAGTTATTGGTGTTAGGCTGTGTGCCCAGTATTTATCTTATTATTATTGATATCGATGAATTTATCTATATGTATATGTTGTTGTGTGATGAATAACATTTCCATGTGTGCAGTGATTAATTGTGTTATCGCCTTCGAGAGGAATTACTGAATCTAAGAACAGTACCGTGGTTAATTGCATTCATTGTAATTATTATGAAGTACAGTGCATTACGCTATTGTAGTGAAATATTATGTTAATTGCTATAGAAATGAGTTATTGAACTTGAGATCAGTGTGGTGATTCATTGCGTTCTATTGCCATTATAGAAATATTGTGTTGATGACAAATATAGTGATTCCTGCGAATTTAAAGAAACAAAGCGCATAGCGCCAGGAAAACAAGTACAGGAGCATTCACACGGTGAGGGGGGCCGCTCAGCGGATTATGACATTGACAGGAAGGGAAGAGTATCACCCTCTAGGTGAGCCTCAGTTTTATGAATAGGGAGTGACTTTCTGCATTGTACTTGATGTTTGGTTGTTGATACGGATATAATACCTTGAAGTTTTTAAGTAAAATACAAAATACCTTTGCGTTTGTATCATCCCTCCATATATATCTTGTTGCTACAGAACAGTTCCAAGGAGTGAGAGTATTAGAGACATATACCTGCCTGAGACCAGATTTAATGAGTGAGCTCTGCCATTAGTACCACAATTCCACAATACCACTGACGTGTTACTGGACACGGGAAACACCAGTTGGCGACATTGCAGTTAGTAGTAGAGCCCTTGTCGGGGTGGGCAAACGGTTGGGAGAGAGCAAACTGTGTTCCCACTCATTCTTTGGCTATAAGGCTGGCTGGGGATCGACTGGGATACTCTCCTGGTGAACAGTGGCGCCACGAGGATTGAGTGAAGACCCGCAGGGCTACGGTGAGTAACAGTTATCGCTAATACTACTGGGTGGTGTCCATGAAGAGAGAGAGACACCCCGACGTTGGCGACCGTTGACAGGATAAAGTACTTAGGATATCTTGTATACTGTTACTTACCTCATCGCATACCCTGACAATAGTAATTCACTTCTTTTCGTCACCTTGAAATTACAAAAATGAGTTTTGGAGAACTCCTATTTCAGCTAAGCCCTGATGCTAAAAAAATAGTTAGAGGGATAAAAGCCCTAAATCAAAAGATAGTAAATACAGAATATGCGGTCATATTCAATGAGACATGTTTGAAAGAAAACCTGCTGCCAATATACACCAATATATATATATATATATATATATATATATATATATATATATATATATATATATATATATATATATATATATATATATATATATATATATATATATATATATATATTGATGTAATTGGTATATATTGGTCGACTGAAAACTCACACCCCAGAAGTGACTCGAACCCATACTCCCAAGAGCAACGCAACTGGTAACTACAGGGCGCCTTAATCTGCTTGACCATCACGGCCGGACAAAAGGAAGTGATAGCCGAAGCTATTTGAACCACTTCCCCGCCGGCAACTCGGATGGTAATCTTGGGCATAGCATTTTATCAAATCACCTCATTCTTTGCGGCACACGTGAGGAACACAAATGCGAACAAGCCTGAATGGTCCCCAGGACTATATGTGACTGAAAACTCACACCCCAGAAGTGACTTGTTCGCATTAGTGTTCCTCACGTGTGCCCCAAAGAACGAGGTGATTTGATAAAATGCTATGCCCAAGATTACCATCTGAGTTGCTGGCGGGGAAGTGGTTCAAATAGCTTCGGCTATCACTTAGTATTTACACAACGCACATAGTATTTAGTATTAATGTGCAGTTGGAGGCACCACATGTCGACTCCAGACTGTTACATGTAAAACAAACTACCCAGCATTAAAGATTTATTGAATGTTCTTCCTAAGGTCAGACTAAACATCTTATATCGTTTTAGGAACCTTGAAAATAATTTGTCTGAGAATGAGAACTTGTTATTTATTTAACATTATTCCTGTAATCATTTGTAACTTACTTATCTGCACTTCTGCAAACATTACTTTATATCTTCCTCCTTCCTCCTGACTACCTGCAGATATCCGGTTTGATGTGGATGACCCCAAAGTTCATAACTTCAACAAGCTTATCCACGATGCATTCGAGCTGTCGCAAGGTGGCAATATAATATTCGACATGTACCCTTGGATCATACCCATTGCTCCTAACTCTCTCAGAAGACGACTTGGAGTAGAAGATATGCTTCATTCATTTTCTTCGATCAGAGATTATGTATTGGTGAGTGAAATATTTACTTCGTCTCAAATGGTACCCCTAGTATGTATTTCTCATGGATGAATGTCCTGATTTTTTGGATGATCTGAAATTCTACTTCCTGCTGCCCTTATATGCCGCATGTGTGTCTATAAAATCCTCAGTGAATTTGACTATCATTGACCACCTTATTGGGATTCTGCTCTGTACTGGCATCCTAAGGTCCCCTATAACATGCTGCATATCTATTCTGGTTTAGAGACTTCTAGGGATAATTACTTCCGCACCTCACTCAGTTGTGGTAGTAGTAGTAGTAGTAGTAGTAGTAGTAGTAGTAGTAGTAGTAGTAGTAGTAGTAGTAGTAGTAGTAGTAGTGGCATTAATAGAGGGAGAAGTAATAGTGATGATGGTGATAGTAGCAGCAGAACTATTAGTATCTGCTAATACTATCACCTACTATTATACTATACTACTAGAATAGCAGAATGCTTGGACGATAATAGTCATCAGTGACTTCAGATCATCTGTGCTCACCAGCTTGATGTCAAAACACATACACCATCATAACCGGCATTAGAACATATGTACCATCATAACCGGCATTAGAACACATACACCATCATAACCGGCATTAGAACATATGCACCATCATAACCGGCATTAGAACATATGTACCATCATAACTTGCATTAGAACACAAGCACCATCAATGGCCTGTTTTTTTTTTATATACATAGCATTTCCACGCACATTGCACGATCATTTGTCACGAGGTTCTAGTGCTCAGCTCTGTGGTTAAAAGTGCTTCATAAAGTTATTGTTTCTTGATCTTCATCACACAGCCTCTTGTTGATATTGTTTTGTGTCACTGTTGCTCTCACTTGACGTGGGTCTTACTGGACATTTTAGCAGCACGACTTATTAACAGTCAGACAAGTGTTGCGACCAACTCGTCATAGTTTCTACATTAATTGTAAAACATTGCTCTAGAAAATTTGCATTACCATCCATGAATCTGGAGAACTTATTGTTGACTATACAACACATGCACTCACCTCTAATATGTGCACTCTTCGTCCTGAGTACAGAGAGTGGTGGATGAGCACGAGGCCAAACTAGACCCCAACAATCCTAAGGACTACATAGACAAGTACCTGGTGGAGATGGCAGCACAGCAAGGCCACTCAGAGTCTATCATGAACAGTAAGTGGTGAAACTTTACCTTCATGTTTAAGTATTTAATCCAATTATGTCTTCGATAGCTGGCTTGTTACCAGTACGTGGTACCTCCGTTTACGTTTCTAGTCCGTTCCCAGAGACGCGTCGTACACTAAAAAATCGTAAACTAAAGCGAATTTTCCCATTAGAAATAATGTGTGACGGTAAAGCGTTGGTGTTCGGCTGTTTCAAAAGCTAGGGGCAGGGCCTCGTCACATAATCAAAAAAAAAAAAAGAGAAAAGTTGGTCCTTTCGTCTGTGGTAAGGTAACGGGAAGACACACAAAACACAAGTATATAAACAATGAAATTTTAATTACTCTAGAAAAACAAGACATGAATAAAGGCAATCTCATAAAAATATGCAGGATAAGTCAACAAACAAAATAACATGAATAATCACTGGCAAATGAAAAGTTACGCTAAGACAAGTAAGTTACAGTGATAGCAAATTAAATATAAGTGCTGGAATACTGGCTTCGAGCTGCCACCTCCCTTAGTACACGAAAGCCAAGGCTTAGTCTACCAGCGAGAGATGTCAACTGCATGGAGCACTGAGATATTCTGACGATATTGGCACACTGCAGCCCAGACGTCGACTTGTGGTGGTGGCGGAGGGCTGGGGCGACGAGACACCAGCCAATCAGCAACAGGCAGGCAGAGGATTAGCAGTTAGCTGGTTACGGCGGTGGCCAGGTGTTGGGGTACGATTTGCTCTCTGGGCAAAACGTTTGGCGATACTTGGTGAACGTATCTTGTATATTGACGTAATTATGTAGGGAAGAGCATTCTCAATCTCTCTTGAAAGAGATTATCGTCACAAATGTGAATTGAATTAATCCGTTCAACACCGCCTAAAAATATTAATTTAACTTAAAAATACATTCTATACCGAATACCTCTCATATTTTGTACTACAGTATAGTATGCATATCTCACCATTACTGACGACTCTTGTTGGCGTATGGAAGACGGTGAACAGGTGGGAGGAGGAGAAGAGATGTTAGTGTTTGGAAGGGGGAATCCCCTTCCATTTTAGCATCAAGCAGTGATGACATTTCTGGAGTACTCTCTCTCCTACGTTTTGCAGGCATACCACTAGCTCCTGGTTGTCGCTCACTGCTTCTCTGGCTCACTAAGAGCCGGTCCATTGAGACCTGTTTTTCCTCACGTCTTAACTCTTGTCTGTAGTGAGGCATCACAGTGTCATTAAAAAGGTTAAAGCAACAGCCTACTGCAGCTTGATTTTGGCGAGTCGGACAATCCCCTGCTCGCCTTAAACTCTTTCATATCTGCATCACTCGTTCCAGGGATTTTCTTTATAGGATCTTCATGCAATACCCTTGTTTCTCACAAGTGATAGCCTCTGAAATGCTATCACCTAAAGCTAAAGCGACAGGCTAAAAGCTTGTCGTTTATCCAAATTAATTATAACTTTTCTACATTCTCAGTTGTTTCTGTTCTTTGTTTCGTAATTGTTGTTACACCTTTTGCCACGTTAGCACTCAATGTCCTTTTTCTTAGCAATTATGGTGGATATCGTTGACATAGATTTGTTGTAATGCCTATCTGGTTCAACAACCCTCATACCATTTTCATGTTTATAAATGATCTCTTGTTTTACCTCTATTGTCAACCCTCACAACTATTTTCTTAGGTTGAACTTTACCACTGACTTTCTTGGGACCTATGGCATGATATATAATAACTTTTATGTTCAGAAACGAAAAAAAAGCAGAAAAAAACAAAGAAATTCTTTACAAAGAGTTCGAGCATGGTCGCGGTCGTCACTTTGCGGGATACTCTGGTAAACAATTGAGCATGCCTCGCCTCGCACCAACAGCACCACACTCTCGTTTGATTAATACACGTGTCAACAGACGTCGTATTGCAAGGAAAACGTCGTACACCAATTCAATTTTTACCGTGAACTTTACGTCGTAAACCAAACAAATCGTACTCTAGGGCAGTCGTATACCAAGGTACACTGTACTATTAACCCCATTCTCACAGTACCAGAGATAAGGTACAGTACTTTACTGTAAATAAGAGGTGTGGTACGGATCTCTCTTGGGCAGGCGAGACCCATTGAGTCGTAAGGATTACATATCACTGAATATCTTCTCTCGTCGCCCCTCTACAAACAACATCTTCCCTGCATTCGAGTCTCAACAGAGTCCTAAGTGGGTCTCAGAACACTAACTTAAATATTGGAGTCCTTCTTAAACATTTTCCAGATAATTTTCACCATGTAAATGTACATGTATATTTTTACATGTACATATATATATATTTACATTGGTGTATACTGGCCGCAGGTTTTCATTGATACACGTTTCATTGAATGTGACTGCATATTCTGCATTGATTATTTTCTTGTTTAAGGCTTCTATCCCTCTAGCTAGTGTTCTTGCATCTTGGTTTATTGGAAGAGGATTTCTCCAAATGTCATCTTTGTTCGAGGAGAAGAAAAAATAATCATTAGCTGTAGAAAGTTATTATTTACCTTATACCTTATTATATAACTTATTATATATTTACACAACATTTCGAACCTACATGGTTCATTCTCAAGTAAAGGGGCAGTACAGAGCATATTGGATTTAATGTGAAGATGTCAACATAGAAGACACCGTTCAAAATGACAAGCCCACTACACCTGATTAAAGTTTGTATGTGCTTCCTCACCCTTTTTTTTATTCGTCCCCCATTTACGCCCTATTCTTCCTTTATGACGCACTCATCTATTTGTTCATATATATACATGTACATATCAATATGTACTATCAATATTTACATGCACAGTATATCATATGTATATACAGCACTCCACTACACATGTTGATATATACCCTGACTTAACAAAATATCCTGAAGTACTACTGAACCCTTATCTTGAGGTTATCTTGAGATGATGTTGGGGCTTAGTGTCCCAGCGGCCCAGTCCTCGACCAGGCCTCCACCCCCAGGAAGTAGCCTGTGACAGCTGACTAACTCCCAGGTACCTATTTACTGCTAGGTAACAGGGCATCAGGGTGAAAGAAACTCTGCCCATTGTTTCTCGTCGGCGCCCGGGATCGAACCCGGGACCACAGGATCATGCGCCCAGTGTTCTGTCCGCTCAGCCACCGGCTCCATAACTAAACTTCATAATGAGAGATCACATTCAGGCTAAATATCAACGACCTATAGGCTACTTAAGCACGTGTTACCTCTTGGCTTGCGTAATCTTCTTCAACCAATCAATCCTAACTAAACCCTCTACCCTGACCACTGTACCCTAACAGAGGAGGACCTGTGGGTGCAAGTAGCAGATCTGTTCACAGCCGGGAGTGAGACAACCAACCAGACACTTCGTTGGGTCCTAATGTACATGGCCAAGTACCCTGAGATCCAGGCCAAACTTCAACACCAGATTGATGAGGTGGTGCCCAGGACACACCTTCCCTCCCTCCAAGACAAGCCCAGGTATGTTTAGCATGTTGTATTAGGTAAAAATATATATATATAAAATTCTACAAAGTTATTTAGTTAGTAAATTTATTGTCCTTCTATTAGACAAATGCAAAATATTATGGCAAACATTACTGTACAAGACCTGTATAACTGGTCACAAAAACCCTCCCTCACTGTTTATATGTATAAACACAAATAAAATCCTTCTTACTTCAAAATGCATTACTGTTTGGCCTAAGTGAGGCAGCTTCTGTTTACTAGTCCATATAAGGCTGTGCAGAGGAGATTTTGTGATTACACTGCCGTTTTCGCTCATATATTTATCCAACCTATGATGGGAAGTTTCCAGTTTATTGGCTTATATAATGCATCTATTTTTATACACAGATCTTGAACCCTATTTCCTAATCAGTGTTTACCAAATTATTTTCTTAACATACGTTTTTATAGCTTGAATCCATGATAATGCTGCTGATAACTTATCATCATCTTTAACACATCTCTGCCCCTCAGACTTGCCTATCTTGAAGCTGTGATCAATGAGGTGAGCCGACAAGTATCCTTACTACCCTTGGGAGTGTCTCACTCTGCAATTACTGACACCCAACTTGCTGGCTACACCATACCAAAGGTAAACACACTCACACTACATTTAATCGATAAATACACAGTAATAGTACTGCCGATATCCCTATACCACAGGTACTCAGCTTCACAATATTAAAAGTACACACTCTTAGAATACCGTTCCATCATACAAAATGCCCACACACACACAGTATCACCAGTAACCCTGTACTAATGTTTATGCTCAATGAGTGGCCAGCTTCACCATGCTAAATGTACACAAAACTTGTTTTTGTTATACTATAATTGTCTGCAAAGCTCACCACCTCTGTATTATTGCCTCTACTCCGTATTTCCTACCATTCTGTTTACTCCAGCATGTTATGTTATGTTATTGTGCAAATTTAGGACCTGACCCTCCTGTATCTTCCATGTAAGTGGTGCTTCTTTCACATCTTCTTTCTTGTGAGTACATTTTGTGAGCTTTGAGACAGTCCTAATAACTTAGGAGCTCTATCATGTTGATGCATGCTGCATGTTCTCTGAATTCCCACTGTTTTAGTAATTGGTACATGTGGGACAGAGATGCAGTACATATGGGAGATTGTTTATATCCATCTGATATAAGTCATGGAATATCTTTGAATATATCTTAAAATAACTGATAAATTTCTCCTTTGTGTTCTCCATTACTGCAGAATATCACCTGAAATGTTCCCCTTACTGTTAAAGGAAGTTATGCTGTGCAGCTTATCATAAAATTTACCATGGGAACCAATACAAAATATTTCAGTGAGAATATATGAATAAGTTATTTTATGTCAACTACAACAAATATAATTGACGCTGCAAAATCGTATACCAGTAAGTTTTTGAATACATCAGAAATCCTTTATTAAATTGTCAAACAATTTCACTTTATTATTTAATTTGATCTTTCCCTCTGCATTCAGTGAGTGTTTAATACCATTGCTAAATTTGTTTCTTAGGGCACAATAATCATTCCTAACGTCGAAATGTGCCACAATGATCCAGCCTACTGGGAGAAGTCTAACGAATTTTATCCAGAACATTTTCTCGATAGTGAAGGCAAATATGATACCAAGAAGAAGAGTTACATTCCCTTTTCCATTGGTAAGTGAAGAAAGTTTTATTACATGAAAATTATTATTTCTCGTGCATTTATCTAATTTCGAAGACATGAAGCAATAACGTAACAAAATTGCTTTTAACAATAATTTAGATTGGTTGTGCATGATTCATAGGCATTAAATGCCAACTTTCCAAAAAGAATAAGTTCATAATTTGTTTTAAGCAATGGCTGTCTAAAATATTATTTTGTTTCTTCAAGCATAATAGCTTCTAAAGTATGAAATCCTCTGAAACATTGGCTGTTACGTAACTTACACAATGATCTGCCAGGTCGACGAGTGTGCCCTGGTGAGGCTTTGGCCCGTATGGAACTATACCTTTTTCTGTCAGCACTTCTACAGAACTTCACTTTCTCAGTTCCTGAAGGAGAAGAACTGGACTTGAAGAAGGATCCCAGAGTGATATTGTTTAATTTTCCCAAACCTCTCAACATCATCATTAATAAAAGAAAATAATGCAGAGTAAGCAGGAAATTATTAAGAAAAAGTGCCAAGTCTGGGAAGCCACGATATTTTTCTTTTTAATCCAGTCATGAAGACCTTGTCCCAAATCCAACCATGAAGATCTTTTCCTAAACCCAGCCATGAAGACCTTGTCCCAAATCTAACCATGAAGATCGTTTCCTAAACCCAGCCATGAAGACCTTGTCCCGAATCCAGCCACGAAGACCTTGTCCCGTATATCGCCTTGAAGATCTCACAATCATGATCACTAAATCATGAATATGAATTTTTCTCATTCATTTTCTAAACAAACACTGGGTCCCATTGCATGATGTGCCGAGGCAAGGCTGTGTGCTGTGGCTGTTTGTCTCACTTTGGCAAAATCCGCCGGACTGCTGCCCATGACTGCTGAGTTAGTCTCGAGGCCCTCACACCCAGGAAAGGTGCCCAAGATTTATATTCCCTTGATGAAATCTGTTCACTGGAGACCTCGGAAATAAGCAGTCTGTACCCACAGAAGTTTCAAATCTCATAATAGACCTAAAAGCGTTAAAAGATCACTGTACTCACCCCCCAATGAAGCGACCCTGGTCACTGTGTTGAATATTAAAGGTTAAAATCTGATAATTTGGTATGTATCGTGCACACTTTAATTTCTGTTATTTTCGTAAAATGTTTTCCAGAAATTGAATGTCGAGTAAAAGGATAATTAATATATAATATAAAAACTATGACAGGTAGGCAGGGTTTCTTTATTTATTAAAGAAAGACAATATGTCATTGTTTAATAAGTGAAAGTTTTATGGTTGCTGCCAATGTGCTAAATAATAGTCAAGTCAGAGGATGATAGGTATAGAAATGGTACAGCAATGAATCAATAATGAAGCCTGGTTCTAACTTAATGATGCACAATTCTGCTGTTAACTAATAAAGAGAAAACCTTTATTTAGAAACATATTAATAAAGGAAAAAAGTTGCTTTGACCACCAAATGGACAAATGGCCTGCTATGTGAGCAGAGAAATTTTAACGGAGTTTGTATAAGCTATGCGTATGAGGCAACAGTATAACTGAAGAAAAAAAGTAACTATTTCTTGTTTGTTGGTGTTAATTCCAAGCCTCTGATGCACTTCCTTGGTATTTTGCACATTTCTGTAATATAAAAAATTAATATATTTGCAATGACAGGGGAAATGTTTGTGGAAAATAATATTAATACGCCATTTCCCACTATCAAGGAGCAGGACAACAATAACACCCTGTTAATCACCCAACTTCATAAGGTCTGCTCATGCCGTCTACACAAGGATAATAGTCACTCAGGTGTATCATATTTCAAACATGTCTAAAGGTCTGATCCCCCACAACCCTGTGTTAGCCTAGTAAGGCACCGGTTACTTGTGAGGGAGGAACACAAACTCAAGTAAGTATAAACTTATAGTATAAACTTATATTGATGCCTCCACACCCAGTTGATGCCTCCACACCCAGCCGCGGCCTCCACACCCAGTTGATGCCTCCACACCCAGTTGATGCCTCCACACCCAGCCGCGGCCTCCACACCCAGTTGATGCCTCCACACCCAGTTGATGCCTCCACACCCAGTTGATGCCTCCACACCCAGTTGATGCCTCCACACCCAGCCGCGGCCTCCACACCCAGTTGATGCCTCCACACCCAGTTGATGCCTCCACACCCAGCCGCGGCCTCCACACCCAGTTGATGCCTCCACACCCAGCTGATGCCTCCACACCCAGTTGATGCCTCCACACCCAGCCGCGGCCTCCACACCCAGTTGATGCCTCCACACCCAGCCGCGGCCTCCACACCCAGTTGATGCCTCCACACCCAGCCGCGGCCTCCACACCCAGTTGATGCCTCCACACCCAGTTGATGCCTCCACACCCAGTTGATGGCTCCACACCCAGCCGCGGCCTCCACACCCAGTTGATGCCTCCACACCCAGTTGATGGCTCCACACCCAGCCGCGGCCTCCACACCCAGTTGATGCCTCCACACCCAGTTGATGGCTCCACACCCAGTTGATGCCTCCACACCCAGTTGATGCCTCCACACCCAGTTGTTGGCAGTTGCTTGGCCATGGCCCAGCGCGTTTTCCCCCCCTCTATAGAACAATGCACAGTTTAACTCTCCCAACCGAGTTGAAATGGAAGGGGTCCCAGCGGTCGGACAGGACTCCACAAGCCTTGAGGTGCCAACAACTACACCTAAAAGAGGTTTTTGCAGAGTATGCAACAAAAGCACCGCCATAAACTCCAACGGTGGTGTTATCCGCTTTCACACCTTCAACGAGGTAAAATGCAGTGGTTCCCACCAGTTTCCAAAGGGAAGCAATGGCCAGCTGCCATTGACAGTTAGGGAAGAGACTCCCATTAACCTAATCTCATCTGACCACCTCACCCAAGCGATCATAGCAACGTCTGCTAGAACATTACCACACATCCCAAAAGCAGCCCGCCCAAATGCAGCAGCCAAACTCTGTAATCTCCTGAAAAGGGTCAATGATGCCCCTGAAAACATTCAAGCGTGGCATAATGTCCTTCTGTTTGGCAATGTATGCCTCACCGTCCCTCCAAGGAGGGACAAATCACTTTCTTCCTCGGTCCTGAGGGCGATAAATGAATACCCAAGGGGGGACAACCTAGTTCGCCTGCCTCTCCGAGCAAAACACATCCACCGCAGAAATGGTAACAACAACATACCGGAAACGTACAAAATCTGAGCACAAATCACCAAGAAAATTGAAGAGGGAAATACCTCAAGTACTATTAGAGTCCTCACCAGTGACGAGAAAATTGCTCCTCGAAACTCAGCCACAGCACGGGCCCTGCAAAGCAAGCACCCACCCAGAGCCCCTCAAGGCGACAACATCGTTCCGCCATCAGCCGACACCATTTCAGACCCATTAACCGTTGGTGAATCTGAGGTCTACAAAGCAGCCCTTTCTTTTCCACCTGGGTCAGCAGGCGGCTTTACAGGGTTAAAACCTCAACATATCAAGCGAATGTTAGGGCCGAGAACAGCACCCTCCTTGGAGCCCCCTCTCGGGTCTAACGCCATTGAGGAGATCCTTGACAAGAAAATCGCAGACCTTAGGAGGATGGAAGACAGAATAGGTGACATCGATGCCCACGATGCTTTTTATCTCCTCACCAAATGCCTATCCCTTCCGAGGCTAACCTACTTTCTGAGGTGCGCCCCATCTTACGACAACCAAAAGCTTGAAGAGTATGATCTCTTACTGAAGACCATGCTGGAAAAAATTGTTAACCTCTCCCTCAACGAATGCCAGTGGAAACAAGCCACTCTTCCTGTTAGGCTCGGTGGCTTGGGTGTCCGCACCGCCACCCAAATTGCTGTCCCAGCCTTCCTGTCTTCCTCCTCAGCATCAGATGACCTGGTTAAGGAAATTCTACCTGACACCCTGAGTGATGTAGCAGGGATACAGGACCCCCACTACAAAGAATGCGACACGAAATGGGGTGCCATGACAGACCCAGCACTCAGACCAGCCATGCCGAAGGCCAAGAAACAATCCAGTCCGAAAGTTTATACCATACATATATACCAGTCAGATATATATATATATATATATATATATATATATATATATATATATATATATATATATATATATATATATATATATATATATATATATATGACAATGTCAGACCACGGAGGAAAAATGAAACAGGAAATTTCCTTAAGTACTTTCGTATATTAAATACATCTTCAGAAGGTCTGTATTTAATATACGAAAGTACTTAAGGAAATTTCCTGTTTCATTTTTCCTCCGTGGTCTGACATTGTCACATTCTTAATCACGTGTTTATTTTCGTGATATACACACACACACACATATATATATATATATATATATATATATATATATATATATATATATATATATATATATATATATATATATATATCTATATATATCTATATATATATATATATATATATATATATGTCGTACCTAGTAGCCAGAACTCACTTCTCAGCCTACTATGCAAGGCCCGATTTGCCTAATGAGCCAAGTTTTCCTGAATTAATATATTTTCTCTATGTTTCTTCTTATGAAATGATAAAGCTACCCATTTCATTATGTATGAGGTCAATTTTTTTTTATTTGAGTTAAAATTAACGTAGATATATGACCGAACCTAACCAACCCTACCTAACCTAACCTATCTTTATAGGTTAGGTTAGGTTAGGTAGCCGAAAAAGTTAGGTTAGGTTAGGTTAGGTAGGTTAGGTAGTCGAAAAACAATTAATTCATGAAAACTTGGCTTATTAGGCAAATCGGGCCTTGCATAGTAGGCTGAGAAGTGCGTTCTGGCTACTAGGTACGACATATACATATATATATATATATATATATATATATATATATATATATATATATATATATATATATATATATATATATATATATATATATATATATATATATATATATATATATATATATATATATATTAGTATATTTTGGTAGCAGTCTTTCCTGTAGACATATATTATTAAATATGACCGAAAAAGTAAGATTAATAATTCTAACACGAATTTTCTCAATCTTTCGTACATTACGCTTCACTGTTGGAGGTAAATCAAAAATCACTTCTCCAAAATTCATTTTTATTTCTAGTCTGACGCGACACGGGCGCGTTTCGTAAAACTTATTACATTTTCAAAGACTTCACAAATACACAACTGATTAGAACTAACGTATCTCTGCTTTTATATCTACATTTGAGTGAGGTGGGAGGGATGATGTGGCATATAATGATGTGGCATTAGGGGATATTAATAGGGTATTAAAAGTATCAACACAAGACAGAACAGAAACAATGGGTATTGAATAGAAGTGTTTGTAGAAAGCCTATTGGTCCATATTTCTTGATGCTTCTATATTGGAGCGGAGTCTTGAGGTGGGTAGAATATAGTTGTGCAATAATTGGCTGTTGATTGCTGGTGTTGACTTCTTGATGTGTAGTGCCTCGCAAACGTCAAGCCGCCTGCTATCGCTGTATCTATCGATGATTTCTGTGTTGTTTACTAGGATTTCTCTGGCGATGGTTTGGTTATGGGAAGAGATTATATGTTCCTTAATGGAGCCCTGTTGCTTATGCATCGTTAAACGCCTAGAAAGAGATGTCTTGCCAGTATATAGTCTTGCCTATATACTGGGTTTTTTGGAGCTTACAGTCCCCAAGTGGGCATTTGAAGGCATAGACGACGTTAGTCTCTTTTAAAGCGTTCTGTTTTGTGTCTGGAGAGTTTCTCATGAGTAGGCTGGCCGTTTTTCTGGTTTTATAGTAAATCGTCAGTTGTATCCTCTGATTTTTGTCTGTAGGGATAACGTTTCTATTAACAATATCTTTCAGGACCCTTTCCTCCGTTTTATGAGCTGTGGAAAAGAAGTTCCTGTAAAATAGTCTAATAGGGGGTATAGGTGTTGTGTTAGTTGTCTCTTCAGAGGTTGCATGGCTTTTCACTTTCCTTCTTATGATGTCTTCGATGAAACCATTGGAGAAGCCGTTATTGACTAGAACCTGCCTTACCCTACAGAGTTCTTCGTCGACTTGCTTCCATTCTGAGCTGTGGCTGAGAGCACGGTCGACGTATGCGTTAACAACACTCCTCTTGTACCTGTCAGGGCAGTCGCTGTTGGCATTTAGGCACATTCCTATGTTTGTTTCCTTAGTGTAGACTGCAGTGTGGAAACCTCCGCCCTTTTCCATGACTGTTACATCTAGAAAAGGCAGCTTCCCATCCTTTTCCGTCTCGTAAGTGAAACGCAGCACGGAACTCTGCTCAAATGCCTCCTTCAGCTCCTGCAGATGTCTGACATCAGGTACCTGTGTAAAAATGTCGTCAACATACCTGCAGTATATGGCCGGTTTCAAGTTCATGTCGACTAAGACTTTTTGCTCGATGGTACCCATGTAGAAGTTTGCAAACAGGACACCTAGGGGAGAACCCATGGCGACCCCATCTACTTGCTTATACATGTGCCCATCCGGGCTCAAGAAGGGTGCCTCTTTAGTACAAGCTTGGAGTAGTTTCCTCA